TCTTTCCTTTTTTATTGTGTCTGTTCTGATGTCCTTGAGAGTAAGGCCACCTCTGTGGATCAGTCTCTAAGGTCAGAGATGGACCTTTCTGTGATGGAAGTGTTCTGCACTGTCCAGTGCCAGCAGCCACTAGCCTCACGTCGCTTGGCAGCACTTGAAATATGGCTCATGTGACTGAGGAGTGCTTTTTAAATATTTAATAAAAATTCTAATTAGTTAAAATTGACATTTAAATAGCCACATGTGGCTAGTGGCTATGGTATTGGATTATCATGGGCCTATAGGGTGCTCTGTGATTTATGTACCTAACGACAGAGCCCTCTTGGAACTTTGTGTTTCAAATGCAAATGTTCCTCTGAATCACCCTGGACAAAGCTGTACATTGCTCTGGGGCAGCGATCCCTGAGTCTCTCCTCTCTAGGGTCTTTCACCAGGTGCTGCTTGATGTCCCTTGCCACTCAAAGATCACTTCCACCAGCTGCTCTCCATGTTCAGGGCAAAACTCTGGAGTGAAATAGGCTTCTGCAGCCAGTTCCTAGGGGTGGGAAGTTGTGAGCAAGAGAGAACCCTGGATCCAGGCCCACGGCATACTAGCATGGACTTGATCTGGGATGGTCACTCTGGCTGGGGACTGCCAAAGATTCCCACTCTGTGTCAACAGACACCACAGGTTCCTCGCCAGCTGGGGCTCAGCAAGGCTCAGGATAACATGACATCACAGATAGCTTTGTGATCCTGCTCCAGGAAGGGCTGCCTTTTTTCACAGGGCTGTCATCCCGGTTGATGTTCTGGTTATCTATTGCTCTGTTGCAAACCACCCAAAATTAACAGCTTAAAAAAAGTCATTTGGCTCAGAAATCTTCAGCTTGGGCAATGTTCAATGGTGAAACCTTATTTCTGCTCTATGAGGACCAGGGTTCTTGGTGCCTCTCCAGGGGCTGCTTGGGCTTTCTTATATATTATATATGACTGGGTTTAAAAGCATCTAAAATGATGAAATATTCTGGTGGTCTAGTGGTTAATTAGGACCCTGCACTTCCACTGCTGCTGACCTGGGTTTGATCCCTGGTCAGGCAACTAAGATCCTGCAAGCTGAGTCTGCGGCCAATAAACCCTCAAAATGACAAAATGAGAGATGCCAGTTTCTTAAGTTCTGGGCCTAAAAACTGGGTTAGTGTCATTTCTGCCCAACCCTATTGGTTCAAAGAACCAGAGAGTCCAGATTTAAGCAGAGGGGACACATCCTACCTTTTGATGGGAGTAGTTTCAGAGAATTTGAGCTGCACTTCCAGAGGAAGTCCTGACAGGTGTCATGTCATTTCCTTCCAAGGTTCAATTCAGATAAAACCAGACTGGAACTTAGTCTAATGGGGGAGACAGATAATAATCAAATAAACACCCAAATAAATCCCAATTTAAGTCATTATTCAAGCAAGAAAAAGAGGAATGAGAGTAATTTAAAAGGAGATTAAGCCCAGCCTGGGTGTCAGGGAAGGCTGTAAGGAAAAGATGTTTGAGCTGAATGAAACCAATTAAGGTAACCAGGAAGCACTTAACGAAGGTGGGCAGGGGCAGGGAAGTGGGAAAGGGTACCAGAAAGAGGGAAGAGTATATACGAAGTCCCTCGGGGAAAAAGGTTGGCAGAGTGTAGTAACTAAAAGGTTAGTATGGCAGAAAATAAAACAATATACAGGACATGCAAGGATAGAGGCCAGAAATTTGGTAAAGCCTTGTTAAGCATTAGGCTATGCTGAAGACTTTACTGATTCTTATTATGAGGGCAAAAGAAAACTACTCAAATATTTTAAGCAAGAGGGTGTTATGCTATAATTTATGCTTTGAAAATATATCTCTGGTTGCAGCAAGGTGTACAGATTGGAGGGAACCCTGAGTAGATAGATGCACAGAGACTACTTATACTTAGGCAACTACTGCAGTGGTTTCTGTCAAAGTGGATGGTAGTTTGGGAGTCAGATGGCACCAGAGGAGTCAGAGTAGATGGATTTGGGATGTCCTGGAGGTAAAACTGATAGGACTTAACAATGGAAGGGATATGGGGAAAGGGAGCTGAGGTGTTTGGTTTTCTACTGCTGCAGACTACCACAAAATGTAATGGCTTAAAACAGTAGCTAGTGTATTACTTGCTCAAGATCTGCAGTTTGAACTGGGCTTGGTATGCAGCTCATTTCTTCTGTGATCATCAGCAGGATGGCATAACTAGTTTGGCTCAGATGATATCTGGGTTCAGTTCTTGCTGCCAGCTCAGTTGTTTGGTTCTCCTCTAGATGGCTTCTCCATGCAGTTAGCTTAGTGGTCTCAGGGTGGTAGGACTTAAATGGAAGTTGCTGGTTTCGCCACATTCTATTGGTTAAAGGTCAAGGCCAGCCCAGGTCAGAGGGGGACTACACAAGGTCATGAATATTAGGTGTGATCCATTGGAGGATACCACACAAAGTCTTCTGGGTTTCTGACTTTTTTCTTGGATGGATGGTGGTGCTATTCATGGAAATGGGAGCATTTCAACAGTGTTGCTTCCATCCCCATTTTTAATCACTGTAAGAAGGATGATTACATTTCAAGTCTCTTTTCCCTCAGAATTGTTTTCATTGATCCTTCATCCTGGATTAAGTCTCATTGTTCTAGAGTCCTTTGGTCCCCCCTTTGACATTCATCCCACTGGGGAGCATTCTAATTGGCCTCCCTGTTGGATGAGAGCTCCAGGAGCCGTGGTGCCAGCTTTCACTGTTTCCTGATCTCCATCCCAAAAGCTCAGCCCACCTGGCACATAGTAAGTTCTCCATCTTTGCTGAATTGAGTATTATCTTAATCTTTCTTCACATGGAAGGTATTACTATTATATTAACAATGTCCTGTATTTCTAAGCCAAGACTAACCTAACAGGACCATGAGGAACAAAACCAACAAGGAACTGGGATGACACCTGATGTTCAGATGCTAAGTAAATTTGATGTGTCTGTTGGTTGTAATAAGCTGCAGCTGCTGATATCTGATGGAAAACAAATATTGAATTGGTGGTGTCACCAATGCTATCCATTGTTCTAAACACAAATAATTCCATTGATATATGAGGGAACACTGGAGCAGAGGTCAAGAGCTCTGGTCTAGTATAGTCCTAAGTGGCTCCAAGGAGTCAGGCAATATGCAGGACCTAAGAGTGTCATGGGCAAAGGTAAAAGAACAAAGGAAAAATATAAAGCCATTCTTTTAATATAAAATCATTTAATTTCTTTCTCTGTTAAAATACACTCAGTCCAGATGCTGTGAATCAGGTGACCAGATTTTTCAGGATTCTCACTCCACCATAAGCTGATTCCATCTGTGTCAAACCTGGTTTTGGTCACAGAACATTCATATCTTTAATTACAAATACTCAATGTGATGCAAATGATGTAATCAATATCTAACACATAGGTATATAGTTTCTTGGTGGTCACTGCACGAGGTATCAACAATGCAGGCTCAAAAAATAAGATGTATAGTAAGTTGGTCTTTTCCAAAAATGTATTAGGACACTAAGCTTACACCTTAAATGAATAAAAAATAAATACTAATTAAGTGCTAGCTCCTGTGAGAAACAATGCATGCAGACAATGAACTCGCATGTGTAGCCATTCATAACAGAAAGCTCTGGAATCCCAACAGTGTCTCCTCACAAAGCCAGTCCTGAGTGTGAGGATGTAAATGAGAGTAACACATAGCTTGGCCAGGCTGCTGGATTCCACATGGGGTTTGGAGTAGCATAATTTCTAAGTTTCCAACAGAAAGAATAGCAATGGTGTTTTCTTACTGGTCACTTCTCCCAAACTGTGAGGCCTGGAGCCGATCAAGGAAGTTCAGAAGCCTTGTAGTTTTAGCAGATGAACCCCAGGGCTGCTAACCTGGGGACACAGATGCCTTCAAATTGTGGTGCCCTTTGTAATGAGAAGGGTTTTTATCCTACCCTCCTCACTTTTGATCATGCACTGCAGAAGGCACTTCCATTCTTTTGAGAGCTTCAGTTTCTGCTTGAGCCTCAAGCCCTACTTCTTAGCCCCGTCTCCTGTCTGCATTCATGCTCACAAAAATAGTCGAGAGCTGCATGCCAAGTTCTGACAGCAAGAATAAGCCATAACTAGAAAGTTTATATATGATAAAACCTTCCAAATGATGTAGGCAAGAGGAAAACGCTTATTTTACCACCATGCAAACAACCCATCTAAAAATGCAACCCAGAAAATTACAGTTTAACAATATTCTGGACAGTACCAAATAGATTAAACTATCCTTCAATCCAAAGCACATACCATCCCCTTGAGGAAAACCAGATGTGAGTGTTGTCATCTATTAAATAATAAATAAAACGGTACCATCAGTGCTATAAAAACAGACAACAGACTTGACATCTAATGAAGTGAGTTAGTATTGCCTCTATTGAGTATCATCACAGATAACTCATCTCCACCATGAAATCCATAAAATGTGTGACTATACTATTCATGGGCACCTAGATCAGGGACTTTTAACCTGTCAAGTCAGTTTAATTATGGCCCATTTTCTAGCAGAGGTTGGAGTTGGGGAGAGTAGAGCTTTGATTTTTGAATGTATAGGAAAACAACTTTCTACAGCCCATCTGGCTCACAGGCACATTTTACCATGTAAATCCTTTCAGTCACTCCAAGGGGAACAAGGAAGTCCCCCCAAACCCAGGAAGGCAGACCTAGCTGGGTGACAAAAATTTGGCCATCTCTGGAGCTGCTCTCCCTCCCTGGAACTGAGCAGGTGTCTCCTACCAGCCACCAAAGTCCCACTCTTTACCTCTGCACTCATCTCCTGACCCTGTGGGATGCCCCCAGGTGGACCCATACTAAATACGTCTTCTTAAATCATGGCTCTGCCACTGAAAGGAGAAACTCTACTTTGGAAATGAGTTTTAATGTAGACTCTCCTTGCAACAGGAACTTTTCTTCTATCCTGAAAAAAACATGGAGTGTTGACTACAGTCACCTACTGATCCTTCTAGGTTCAGATTCATGATAGAATCTGTGCAGCTCAATCCTATAGCTCACCTCCACAGGAAGTTCCAGAACCACACAGTCCATGCGACAGTTTCCCTCTTCCTTGTCACAAGTGGGAAGAGTTGCCTCTTTTTGTTTGGTATGATAAGTGGTGTAGTGAGGTGTGCTGAGTGGATGCAGGACTGCCATAGAAAGGATACCAGGTCCCAGGCTGGGAGGTGGTGCAGGAGGGGCATCCTTGGGAAAGCTTCTGCTTTTACCAATATGGCTAGAATCACCTGAGCAAGGAGGATGTGCACTCACTTTGTACTTGATAATCAGCCTACCATCTAGCTCTGCCATAACCAGTTGTGTGACCCAGGTCAACCATGTAGCCTCTCTGGGCCGATGTTCTCATCCATACCAGGCACTTAACAGACACTGACTATGTGAAAAAAGCATCTCCTATCACAACCACAGGTCACTGGGTTAAACAAAGTGACTGCTGGGCCAATGCCAGATCCCGCCAGGCCCCAAAGCCACAGACTAAGGGTCTTTCCTCTCTATCTCTAGATCTGAGCAGCCTGGCTAGATGGGAATGCCTCCTCTTAGGTCTGACCACTGTACATCTATGGGGTATAGGGACTCAGCTCAAGTGTGATGCTGCAAGGAAAAATGACAACATTCTCTGGGTTCTATGATGGACTAGGGAAACTGCACTGAACAGCTGAGACTCAGACTTGCATTTTACCTTTACCCCTGGCCCCTGTTTCTGTGTGTCCATTGAACTGTTTACTCAATAACTCTTAATTTCTGGGCCCTCTGTAAGAGAGAGGGTTAAGAAAGTAAAAGAAACTGAAATCAGGTAGTTTGCTAACGCCAGTAACTGAATATAGATTAGGCAAATGGAAAACTGTGGACAACAGTTTGCATTTCTCTGCGGTCCCCTTTGAAAATGGAAAGCTGAGTTGTCAAAACAACTGCATCTGGTGGGGAGATGACTTTAACAAAAGGAGAGGTATAATTCTCATTGCACATTGTAAACAACCAATATTAAGCTGCTTTGGCTAAAACTAGGAATGACTGGGTATTGAGACTTCACTGAAGAAGGAAGAAAATATGAATCTGCTCTGGGATGCCCTGAACTACATTCCTAGAGGCAGGTAGGTATGGCGCAGGGAGCTGGATCTAATGCTTGGCCATGAATTTAGATGACCTGCACCTTGTTCCTGAAGCCAACCCCCAGGAAGGATTCTGTGATGACAAGTCTGGCTCCATGCTGAAGCGCCTCCAACTCTGCCCACCAAACAAAGTTAGCAAATTGTGAAATGTTCATCATCTCCTAATTTTGTATTATAAAATGGAATTAGGAACATAAACAGTAACATGTAGCAAAACCCCGAGCCTGCGTACAACTATCAGCCTCTCAGCCACCTCTGCGTAGGCCAATAAGTTTGGAAAGTTTTTCACAGTTTTCAAGTTTCAGCGATTCTGCTTTCTGTTTCAATCGTTCATCTCTGTATAATCCTGCCAAATTGGTCAACTCCGACTCTGAAAGATAAAAGAGGTAACCAATTCATCAAGAGAGTTGAGCTCCTTTGTTTCACTTCAATACTTCTGGAAGCAGAGCTCCTTTTACTTTATACAATGCTTTTTCTTTCAATTAAGTTTAAGAAAAAAAAACTCATTTACTCAAGAAACATGTATCAGGAAGCTATACCACACCAGGTGCTGAGGATTAAGGGACACCTGTGATCCTGGAGTCCGAAAGTATCTGTGCTCCATTACAAAAGCACTGGACTTAGTTCTTATCAACAGAACATTTGGCACCAGACTTAGGAAACCTGCACGTGTGCAGTAAGAGGAGACTCTGTTTCAAGGCTTTCCTACAAATGGTATTCAGATGGCAGTTGGGAGAGAATGGAGTCCGATCGCCTGTTCCTGTCATCTGAAACAAAGGCAGCTGCTTCACCCTTCCCGAGTCGCTGGAGCATAACTCATGCACTGACGGACACAGAGCCCTCCTCTGGGGGCCTGCCTGCTCTAGGTACCCAGGCTGCCGGCTGCATCCTTCATGCCCTCACCACATGGGGGGCCCCTAACTCAAAGGGCAAAGGCAGTTGGGCTCTTTTGAAAGTGAAATCATCTGGATCCGGTGACCTCTATCTCCTTGACAAAATGTATTTTATTTTCTCCTCATAGTGGAGAAGGTCATTCTATTTTTAACCAGAATATAATCTCTGCTGTCCTCCCGGACTCAGCAGTGGTTTGGCTACCTCTCTTTTTTATTCTTTTGTATAGTTTCAGAGACACTCTGGGGAAGGAATGCCTGAAGAGAACCTCCAGAAGCGTGTGGTGTATTAACAGGAAGGCATGCTTGGAGGGCCTGTGTAGCTTCAACAGCAGACAGCTACACAGTGTTTAAAGGCCCATCCTTATGAAAAATGCTATTTTAATCATTCTTAAATATGCCTATTCATTCTTAATCATCTTGCTGACAGATTTTGTTTTTCTTGGTGAACGAGAGGCACCTGTCTGATTAATCAGCAAACTGACTGGAAACAGGAATTAATACTTAGCCAGGGGGAACAATGTGCATTGGCCTCTGAATAAGTCTCTATCAACACAAAATACAGGCATTTCTGCTCACAATGATTCCGTTTACACCAAGTAAGACCCAAAGTGCAGATTAAGTGCAGGACTTTAGGGCGAGGGGTGGGGATGCATGAAAACCCACCCTCTACAATAGGGGCTCAGAGCCTGGGCCCTGGCCCAGCAGTTGCCTGGCAAGCAGCGAGTCTCCTAGGCTCCAGAACAATGTGCTTTCACCCCGTGGTGTGGGGCCTGCATTGCATGCCAGCCAGAGCTTGCCTTGGCATGGGCATCCTCGCGGGTGATGCGGCTTCATGGAGGATCATCGGCTGCACCCAAATGAGAGCCTTTGCTGCCTTGTTCCACCCAGAGCTGGGCACTGACTCCATCTGTCTGGCTGTTTCGGCATGTGGGAAACCTGTTCAAGAGGGCTCTGTGGTCCTCTGGAGTCACAGCTGCACCAGTATGTAGAGCAGATTCTGTGGCTCAGCTTTTCCTTGAAATGATTTCCTTAGGTTTTTTTGTTACTGACCTTATCCAAATGTCTCATTGCCTGAAATCTCATTCCGGAAAACATTAACAGCTAGTGATTCTATTTTCTACACTGACAACCACTGTAATAAGCTGATGAAAGAGAACATACGTACACATATATGAATGCTTTCTCAAAACATGCTCCAAAGGTTGAGAACCCTGCTCCAGAGGAATGACCCTGCACAAGGACAGTGTTTCAAGGAACCATGGCCCACACCCCCATGATCATGGTTGGAAAACTTCTCTCCAGATAGCCACTGAATCCTTTTGTACTTCAATGAACAAAAGCTCAACTCAACGAATATGTTACTTTTGACAAGTTCTGTTAATATTCAGTAACTTCTAAGGAAAAACAAAATCTTTGGCAGGGGCAGAATCAAGGGAACATGTTTTTCTTCTCTGCATAATGTTTTCCCTGCCCTGAATGCCAGTGTAATAGATGAACAGAGCATTGAAGCCTTCAGAGTAAACTGACTTGGGCAAATTGCCAAGAGAAGCAAGTCCCAGAGCCTCCTCTCGCAAAATACTCTGCCCAAAAGCCCAGATGGGAGTCCTGACAGATCCCAACCACCCTCAGGATCCAGCCCTGTGAGACAGAGCTACATCCAGCTGAGCAAGGCCAAGCAAGGTCTGGATTTTGTTAGGATCCAAGCACTTACTATATGCTAGACACTATGCTAAGTGTTATACTCATGTCATCTTCTATCATCCATACAACCTCTTTGGGAGGAAGTTCATTTTATCCCTATTTCAAAGTCTAAGCTTCTGCCCTCTCTGCCATCCTGCTCCAGAGCATGGAAAGTTCTCCTCTGCCAGGCAGGGCTGGGGTCCCAGTCCCGCTCAGCTAGGTCAGGAAGCAGTCCTGCCTTTTATTTTGGTTTGTCCCAGTCCAGGGCCATGGCCACTTCCCCTGGCATTGGCTTTATTATCTAGGTGCAGCCGTGAAGGAGTAGACAGGGCAATCAGTGTTTACAGTAAAGGAGTACTCACAGAAATTCACTCTGATGAAGCATTCTAAGGAAGAGCAGAGCAAAGAAATTAACAAAAGATTTTAAAAGACAATGGCTAAACTTTGCTAAAAGCAGTTTCCATTCGGTATTTTGCCAAGACTGAACTTTGTTCTTAAGCAGGTTTATTTTTACAACCTCCATCCATGTGCTAAATTTAACCATGTTGGCTGCACTTGCTGCTGGATCCGGAGGGCAGATGCTGCCTGTTCTCAAATGGCACTTGGGTTGTGTGGAGGCTCCGGACAGCCACCATCCTTAAATGCCAGAAATAGATTTTTAAGGGGTGTGTGCTGATAACCCCCAGTTTGGAACTTGTGGGTAGACGTGTCATGCTCACCCACTTGATTATACCTGGAGGGTGCCAAAGCCCTGGAAGCAGGTCTCATGAGGATGGGGACGCAAGGCTAGAAGCCGCCTTAGGTGTAAACCTTTCCATGAAAGTGTTAGTCGCTGAGTTGTGTCAAATTCTTTGTGACCCCATGGAATGTAGCCTGCCAGGCTCTTCTGTCCATGGGATTCTCCTGGCAAGACTACTGAAGTGGGTTGCTATTTCCTTCTACAGGGGATCTTCCTGACCCAGGGATCGAAACCGGGTCTTCTGAATTGCAGGCAGTCTTTACTGTCTGAGCCACCAGGAAATCTTAACCATTAGTTCTTTGCATAGTTCTAGCTGGTGTGTGGGTGTGTGTGGGGGGGAGGGTTTAAGAAATATATATTTTCAACAATTTCTTGCATAAAGCAACAAATTCGAAACCCTATCAGGGCCTAAAACAATGGAGACTCTTAGGACATACACTGACCCTCACCTGATTTGGATCAGGTGATCAATTATAATGCCTTTAAGTCTAAGGCCTCTAACTTACTCTAAAATTATTTCCTGGTTTTTAGAACTAGAAAAACCTAGTTTAACAGTAGGGTAGGGTTACTTCTAGACCTCTAGTTTTTTGTTTTTTCAATAAAAAAAGCAATGGCCTCCTCCTGCTGAATTCCCCCTTACATTCAAGTAAATGCCCACCATGCTCTTAAGGCACCGAGAGGTCAGGTGGGCTCCACTCTGCGGGAGTAGACAGAGGATACAAGGTCCCTCAGGGCCAGGGTTAGGACACTAGCCCTGCTCAGTGATCCCTAGTTCTCAGCAGCTTCACTTTTTCCAGTCCTGAGAATCCTCTCTTCAAAAGACGTTTGTTGAGCATCTGTTCTGAAGCAAAGACTGTGCCAAGGGCTTGGGCCACAAAATTAGTAAGACATGGTTCTTGACCTCAGAGAGCCCAGAGTCCAGCAGAGACTGTCATGTACCTAGAGAACACTAACACTGTGAGGGTGTTAGCATCTCAGTAGGATGAGTGAAGGGCTTTAAACACACAGAGGAAGGAAACATTAACTTGGGGTGGGGTTGGGGTGCAGATGGGTCAGCAAGCGCTTAGTTAGTAGCACTGTGACTGAGGATCTAAATTTATCAGACACTGTTAGATGTTTAATAATACCCAGTGATAGGTTTTTTAAAATGAGTTAGTTTGCTTTTTAAAAATTAGCCAAAGCCAAGTTTTATAAGATACAATTACTAGTGTGTGTGTGTGGGGGGGGGGGTGCAGGGGGAATTCAAGTGGGACGAAAAGGAGCCTGTTGGCTGAGGCAGGGCTGCCTTGTTACAGCACTCTCCATGAATGCTCACTGGAGTCATAAGCCAAATCGTAAGCCAACACCATCACCCTTGCTGTCTCCAGACAGGGAAACAGTGTGGAAGGCCTGCTCCAATGAGTCACTTTTGTTCTGTGTGGCCACAGCTGATTGGAGGGGAAGAGAAGGGGCACCAGACTCAATAACAACAACCTATCAAACTTTGGTTAGGCTGGATCAGGTTTCCCTCTGGGAAATGTGGAATTAGGAAACAATGGACCAAAGCAGCAAGCTACTTAAAGAGGAAGCTTGTGACGTAGAAAGAGGCCAATGAATGGTGGGGTTGGGGGAGTTGGGAGAACTAATAGGAGGGTGGCAACCAAAATAAACTAGGGCAAATCAAGGCTGTGAAGGAGGAGAGCTTGAAAAAAACGTAGGAAAGCAGTTGGTAAAAGAAAGGACAGAAGGCAGATAGGCAGACAGATGTAGCAACTCAGAGACAGACAGACAGGCAACTAGTACTGCCTAAGTCCCTAAAGATTTCAAGCCCTGGCCACATGTATCCTGTCAATAAATTTCCCTTTTTATTATAATATTTCTAATATCCTGAATGGGCCTCTGTCCTGTCCTTGTTCATATAAACATGAGTAGCTCAGAAAGAGAGGAGAGATCAGTATGCTGGGGATACCTCAGGGTGGCACCAGCAAAGCCCCTTTTAGAGCATCTTACTTTGTTGTTTCTCCTTCCAACAACTGGTCTGGATGTAATCAATGTAATCCTTCTCTATCGTCTTCTCCAGGTCACGCAGAGATGCACCTCTGTAGGCCTTGTCAAAATTTTTATCCACGAAGTAAGGCACCTGTAGGTTCTGGGTTTCTCTAGAAATGGTGTGGCCCAAGGTCCTAAAACAAGGAGAGGCCCAGGTTTGCTTGTTATATTTGGAAGTATCACTCTTAGCACTGGCCTTGCTGACATCATCATCACACTTATCTTTTCACAGATGCAGATACCATTTCTAACACATCAACATTTATTATTTCCCAAGCAAAGCATAAGTGCAATGTCATCACTGTCGCTACTCTATGAGCATGTTTCAAGTGGATTCAGTCTCAGCATATTTACTTTATTCTCTTAAATGAGTCATCTCCCTCTCTTCTTTCTCCCTCTTTCTCTCTCTTTAAATTTAAGACATACATCATGATGGGTTTACATATATTGTGAAATGATTACCACAATGTCTAACATGTCTAATAGGTAATCCACTAACATCTGTCTTCTCATATAGATACAATAAAAAGAAAATAAAGAAGATTTTAAAAAAAGACAAGAATAAAGGAAAAAATTTTTCCTTGTGATGAGAACTCTTACTACTTAGTCTCTTTAACTTTTCTATCATTTCCTATCATACAGCAGTGTTAACCACTATAACACTGTATTGTATGTGACATACATCGTATTTACTAATATTTATCTTACAACTATTAGTTTGCACCTTTGACCATCTTCCTTCAATTCCCCCTCCCTCTCTCCTCTATCTTTGGTAACCAGAAATTTGATCTCCTTTTCTGAGTTTTTAGATTCCACATATAAGTGAGATCATACAGTATTTGTCTTTCTCTGACTTACTTTGTTTAGCATAATGCCTTCAGAGTCCCTCAATGTAGTCAGAAATGCTATAATTTTCATTTTTTAGGGCTGAATAATATTCCTCTGTGTGTATATATGCGCGCACACGTGTGTGTGTGTGTGTGTGTGTGTGTGTAGGCTTTTTCCATGTCTTGGCTACCATAAACAATGTTGCTATGAACATGAAGGTGCAGCTACCTGGATTCACCTCTCTTAGATTGTTTTCTCTGTTAAAAGTATAATGCTGAATGCTTAAAAAGCAATTTATATATTCTGCAGGACCTGGCATGGCAGCTGGCACAGAGTGGCTACTGGTAAATGTAGGTTGAATGAAATGATTGCTATTGTAAACTATTCACAAATAACTAGACAGCTTATACTAACTTAGTTCCAATTTTTAGGACATGATAAAAAGTACTTCACACATAGCTGTTAGATGAGAACTGCAAAAAAACTGAGACAAAAGATTTCAATTATACCTCCAGGCTAACTCTTAATGATATCCAAGTCTCTGGTGTTCAGAAACTTTAACAGGTCATGGGTTAACTAAAGTCTAACCATAAGAAAGTATAGAAGGGAGCTCAAATTCCAGTTAAAACAATGTGATGGTAATGTGCAAATCCAAGCTCACTTTGTTCACACTGAACAAAGTCTATCTTAAAGGAGTTATATTTGACCTTTTCCTAGCTTTTCCTTTGATCTCTTCACTCATGGATCTTGCTGGATGTCTAAGAGCTCAGGCCATGATTGCTCTTCCCTCTCTCTGGAAAGCTGAGGGCAGGTTCCTGCCTGCCTCCCTGGCCTGACGAGAAAGGAGGTAGTCGTAACATATGGAGAAATATGGGAAGTCAGGAAATTAGAGGGACTCAGGCCAGCGTGACCTGATAGCAATAACCTCTCTCTGAGTCTCAGCTTGCCTCTCTGTAAAATGAAGATACTGATCTAGAATGATAGCCTTAAGGCTATAGTGATCACCAACCTGAGCTCTTCCTCTTAGGTACTGTTCCACGACAGAGTCCACATTTGAAAGGTGTTTGTCTACTAAACTGTAATTGTGAATAAAGGCTCATTTCTCATTATTAATTAAAAAAAAACAAACCAGTGATTCTCAAATTTAGTATGGACCAGAATTATTTGGAAGGCTTGTTAAAACTCATATTGCTGGTTCTCACCTCTAGAGTTTTTGCTTCAGTAGATACAGAGTAAGGTCTAAGAGTTTGCACTTATAACATGTTGCCATTTAATGCTTGATCTAGGGATGCTTGGTCTAGGGATGCTTGGTTTAGGGATCAAACTTTGAGAACTGATTTAACTGAAATACTTAATTGAAGAAATTTAAAAATTCCTATCAGAGCTCATATTTTTCATGCAATACAAACTTCATAATGATTTCTATATTTTTAGCAAAAGCAAAGAAATGAGATAGTATGGTTTGACTGTACAGTCTTATGAATAAAAGTCCTATTCTTGCAGTTTCTTAAATTGGACATAATCACTAGATCTTAGTTACTATGTTCTCAGATTCACAGGGGTGCAGTGATACTTTCACAAGCTCATTAAGGTCCTTTCTAACTCTAACATGGAACTCTAACTTCTAACATGGAATGTTAAAGATTTAATCTGAACCTGGAGTTAGTCTGTTAATCCCTCAGAAACCAGCTGTTGCTGTTCCGCAGTTGACCAGATGATGTCGCTGTAGAACAAAACAATCCAGGTCCTGAGTGCATGGGAAACTGCCTGAAGTAATTTTGAGTCTCTGCATTATTACTATCCAGCTGTCCCTTTAAACACAAAACCAGTGTTTTCTACAACAAAAGGTGACATGAAATGTTGGTAATGTACCAGCTTGTTAAGAAAGATTTGTAAGTATTTGACTTACGATTTATAGAATAGACTATATGGGGGATTAGCAGCTAGTAGCTGAGTAATCACAGATATGATCACAATCACCAGAACTGGAAGTAACTGAATAAATGCAGAATATGTAGTCTGAAAAAGAAAAAATATTTAGTGTAAGTGCTGTTCATAAATGTAAAGCTTACTGAAAATAGGAGTTTTCCCAAAGAAAATATGCATTACCAGTGCATTGCACATTGCCCAAAGTTTTTCTGAGAAGGTTGTATTTTCTGCTGAGAAGTACCAAACAGCTCCATTCTGTCTGCTGAAAAGGCTGAAGGGGGCCCACCCACAACCTGGACTGACACTCAATCCTGCAGCCTCCTTTTCCAAGACCAATGCAGCAGACACCTGTGCGCTAGTCTGCCCAGCCTGTGACCCTCACGAGGTCATGTTATCATGCAGCTCTGTTGCCTTAGCCTTAGCTGAGCAGACTGGGGGACATCTGGCAGACATTTAACCATAGCAGGGATGATCACATTCTCCCTCCTAAGAATCTGGGCTTGAGATTCATCACCATTCACTGCTAGGCAGTCACTTCAAAGGACACATACTCAGAGGCACTGTAGACTGGACACTTGCAAGGGGAAGTAGAAAAGCCAGGCTGCTTAGAGAGAACAAAGCAGATGCAGAGAGTCAGGAAAACTGGAGACAGTCTGGCCCCAAGAGTCACGGAGAGCACAGCTGCGTGATGCCTGACAGCACCCCAGTTCCTGGTTCCCATCTGTCACAAGGCCCAGCGTGCTTCCTGCCCTTGAGCTTCATGAGACTCCCTTGATCCCTTAATTTAAACCCCCTTTAGTACTGAATATTATAAAGGGGGTCCCTTATTTCTCTGCAGTCAAGAAAATCTTTTTCAAGACAGCCCCATAGGGGAACAAATTTCCCGGGACAGTCACCAAAGGATGGGTGGGGGAGGGGGTACCATTCTGGCCTATTTGGGCCAGTTATCCAGGTCTTCTTACCATGCTTCTGCTTTCCTAAAGCACGCTTTAGCACATATCTCAAGCTGAACTTCAAAAACCTGATCTTACTTCATAAAGGTCAGTTTCAGTACGAGCGTTTATGGGCAGCTGTTGTCCTATCCTCCCCAGGTACCTGAGGCTTATCCTCTTCCTCTTCCTTCCGTGCCTGCATTCTCTCATGTCGGTGCCGCCGGCGGTAATAGTGGGTGTCATCTGTCACATTTGAAAACATATGAATATTTCCTAGAAAAGAAAGAAAAATACTTAGCACACAATATGGCACACACCTCTTCCTTGCCTTTTCCAAAGTCCGTGCTTCCAACTAGGCTCTTTGAGGGTAGGGTATTGTCCCATTTTACCCAGCAGAAAAATAAGACAGTAGGTATATCAAGTGAACCAGCTGAAAATGGGACATGCTTAGCTCTCTCACCCTTATTTAAACAGTCCTTTGTAACTAGTGAGTGAGAGAAACCCGAGAGGCAGAGAAAGAAACAGCACTTGGACCATGAATCCTGTCTGACATGCTCTTATCTGCCTTCTTGCCCAATATCAGATTATATCACTAGCATCTTTAATAGGACCTCCACAAAATCCAATTTACTTCCAAGGCATTTAATTAACCCAACTTCCAACTCTCTGGGGGTATTTTTCTAACCTTTACCTTTATATAAGTGCTAGTTTACAATAATTATAGGAATTTTGTTTCTAATTTATAAAACACTTAAAAAATATCCAATCCTTCCAGCATCTCTGTGAGGTTGGTATTATCAGCCCCATTTTTTGGTAAGGAAACTAAATCAGATGGACTAAGTAAAAATCATGCATAGTTGGAGGCTAGAGACGACTTCAACCTCAGCTTATCTGATTCCAAAGTCTTGTTGTTTCCACCATACCATGGCCTGTCTATTCAGATCCTGAAGATATATATGACTGTTTTTGGCCACGCCACGTGGCATATGGGATCTTAGCTCTCCGACCAGGGATCAAACCTGAGCCCCTTGCAGTAGAAGTGCAGAGTCTTAACCACTGGACCACTGAACCACTGGACCGGGGACGTCCCTAAGACTTTTTAAATGAAAAAATTTGGGATACTAACCTGTAGGAAAATGTCCTCCAAAGAAGACATTGAATAGCTCTTCTGGAGTGATGTCAGTTTCAAAGTCCCTGTAATAATTATAAGGTCTGGCTCGAGGGGCAGTGAAAGTCACCTGTTCATCTCCATATTCATCATAGCGGAGTCTCTTGTCAGGATTGCTCAGGACTGCAAAGGCATTTCCTATTGCTGCAACAAAAACAAAAAGCACCAGTGTACACAGTCTTTGTTGCAGCTGAGGGTAATCACAGTAGTAGCAGTGAAGAGCCCAGAGTAACAGTGAAGAGTTGGTGCTGGACAACTTCACAGTGACCCAAGGAGAGGTGCTTGGGCCTGGAAAGTTCACCAAAGTGCTTGCCCTTGAAATCTTCCCAAGATCTAGTTTGATAAGCCTGAAACAATACTGGAGTCAAAATAAACTTAGAAGTACTGTTCTCCCTTATAAAAAATGTGTTATTTCACTTGAGAGCAATAGTTTATGGTCAGAAACAGTTTATACATAAGCAATGGTATTCTAACATGAAGTCACATAAACAAGTCTCCTGAATAAAATAATAAATAAAAATCCTCCTACTTGGTTAAAAGCAAAGTCGTGTCATCAGTCTTATTTCAGCTTAACTTTTAAACATAGTCTTTAGAAATTAGGAAATGTATCTCCAGGGAATTCCCTGGTCGTCAGTGGTTAGAACCTGTGCTTCCACTGCTAAGGGTCCAGGTTCATTCCCTGGTCAGGGAACTAAGATCCCACAAGCCAATTATCGTGGCTTAAAAAAAAAAAAAAGTATGTCCAGTGCCTCAGTGAGGGATCAAAGTCTGAATAGACTACATAAGCATACCATCACTTCTCCTCCCTGTGCACAAATGTGCAAACTTTGTCCAATTTCATTTAAACATTCAGTCAGTACCACCAATCAAAGAATCACCAAAGAAATCTTAAAAAAAAATCTTTTAAGTCATTCCCACCTGCCTACCTTTAATTCAGTCAACACTATCAGAAACATAGTCAGAAAGAGCATTTCCTTGTGATTCTTCTAGTCAGGGAACTGAATTAATTATTTATAGCAATAAAACAGTTAAGCAGAAAAAAACAAAAAGAAAAACCTAAACAGAGTTGTTTAAACATTCATATCCCTTGAAATCTGGCAGATTTCTTAGAGAAATGGCATTAGTCTGTGACGTACCCTACATGAAGGTATGAGGAGAATGTGGTTTATCTGTTTCCTTACAGAAACTGTGGGGAGAATGAGATTCACAAAGGCACTCAACAAAGTAGCTTGTCCTCTAAGTTAAATACTGACTTTAAAAAAATGTCTCAGATCTATCTTTTTTTTTTTACTTTTTCTTTTTTACAAACATTTATTTATTTGGCTGTGCCACATCTTAGTTGGGGCATTAGGGATCTTTAATCTTTTAGTTGCAGCACGTGTGATCCAGTTCCCCGACCAGGGATCGAACCTGGATCCCCTTCATTGCAAGCACTGAGTCTTAGCCACTGGACCACCAGAGAAGTCCCTACTTTTCCTTTTGAAAAATTCAAATCTCCAGAAAAGTTGAAAAAAATAGTACAATAAACACCTTTACCCTTATTCATCAATATTAGCATTTTACCACTTTTCTTTTCTCAATGCTGTACACATACATGCATATATATAATATGTATTCATTTTTTCTTGCTGAATCACTTGGAAGTAGGCCGAAGGTATTATGACACTTCACTCCTATATATTTCAGCATACATCTCTGAAGAAGAAAGATACTCTCCTACATGATCAAAATATCATATCACAGTTAAGAAAATGAACACCAATTCATTATCACCCAGTAAATCCATTCAGGGTTAATGTACTGCCTTTGGTTTCACATCTCTTTAGTTTCTTTTCATCTGGAACAGTCTCCCCACCTTTTTTGCTTTTCTTTTAATTAATTTTTTGAAGAGTAGTTCAGTGTTCTTTGTAGAATGTTCCATATTTTTACTGTTTCCTCTTTATTAGATTCAGGTCAAACACTCTGGTATTAGTATTACAACATGTAATGTTAAATTGTTCTAGTAATGGTGATGATAAATTAGATCACTTTCTTAAAGTAGTAACAGCTAGCTATCTCCATTACTTAGAAAATTTTCCCTGTGCAATCTGGGCTCCCCAAGTGGCTCAGTGGTAAACAATCTATCTGCCAATGTAGCAGACTGGGGTTGATCCCCGGGTTAGGAAGATCCCTTGGAGAAGGAAACGGCAACCCATTCCAGTATTCTTGCCTGGGAAATCCCACAGACAGAGGACCCTGGCGGCTATAGTCCATGGGGTCACAAAAGAGTCGGGCATGATTTAGCAACTAAATAACAACAAAATCAGTAAGTATTCTGTGGGGTTTGACATTATGTGAATATTCTATTCAACAACAACCTATTACCCAATGGTTTTAGCATTCACTGATAATCCTTTCCTGAATCAATGACATCCTCAGGGTGAAGCTCTTAAGTAAAATTTTATTTATGTATTGGATCCAAAATATTTTTTGAGAATATGTTTCTGTTTGATCTATAACTGTGTTTTAGCTCTTTACAAAGTCTTATAAAGCCTTTTTATACTAACCATGTGTTTATAATGGAGGTTTCATGAACAGAGTTTCATGGTCAAAGAAGTTTTGAAATGCTGTCTAGGCCCTACTTGCAAGTGGCTACCAACCTTTAAGTTCCACAAGAGGAGTCATATCAGTTTTACTTACCCTGGCACCTGGTACATAGATCTTCAATAAATATTTGCTGAATCAAAGAATAAAAGGTTCTGTAAGGTATTACAGAGAAACCAAGTATTTTGTTTTTTCCAAAAGAAATTAAGGTCAGAAATTAAGGACAGAGCTATGCTAATAATCACTATCTAAGAGGTGTGGCAGAAAAAAACAAGACCCTGCTTGTGGCCTTAGAAAACAATTACAAGGGAGGCTGGAAACAACTTGCTGTGCCCAAACATCACAAGGAGGGCATAATTAAGCATTAGTTTAGGATCAGACCTTTGAAAGCATCTGTTGCTCCAGGAGCACAGTTCTTGTCAGGATGAAATTTCAGGGCAAGTTTTCGGTAAGCTTTCTTAAGCTCTTCATCACTAGCATCTCGTGAAACTCCCAGAATTTCATAGTAATTTCTGCATTTCTTGATCCTAAAAACACAAATCAGAAACATTTTTTTGGTATGTCTACAAAGGTCCCTTTTGTACAATTAACTGCAAAATAGTAAATCAATCCTCTTTCCAATGTGTGAGCTCCAAACCTGAAAGAAAGAAAGAAAACTGGTGAACACGTTAATGAATCATTCAATTCACTAACAACGTTCTCCTCCCAGAGACAGCTTAATTCCTTTCAAAGTATTTTTACATCTAATATTTTATTCTTTCTATATCCCTGTAAGTGGGTAGAATAACTATACTAATCCTTATATTAAGGCCCAATCTAAGGTCCTCAAAGTTGAACCACAGGACAGCAAAGGCAGAAGAAATACCCTAACCATTTTTTTAAATGTACCCCTTTTTTATGGCTATCTTTTTAAACTTTGTTTTAAAAAGTTATAAAGGCACCTTACCTACCTCCTGAGAAATCTGTATGCAGGTCAAGAAGCAGCAGTTAGAACTGGACATGGAACAACAGACTGGTTCCAGATTGGGAAAGGAGTACATCAAGGTTGTATATTGTCACCCTGTTTATTTAACTTATATGCAGAGTGTATCATGCAAAATTCCAAACTGGATGAAGCACAAGCTGGAATCAAGCTTGCCTGGAGAAATATCAATAACCCTTATGGCAGAAAGCAAAGAAGAACTAAAGAGCCTCTTGATGAAAGTGAAAGAGGAGAATGAAAAAGTTGGCTTAAAACTTAACATTCAGAAAACTAAGATCATGGGATCCGGTCCCATCACTTCATGGCAAATAGATGGGGAAACAATGGAAACAGTGGCAGACTTTATTTTGGGGGGCTCCAAAATCACTGCAGATAGTGACTGCAGCCATGAAATTAAAAGATGTTTGCTCCTTGGAAGAAAAGTTATGATCAACCTAGACAGCATATTAAAAAGCAGAAACAACAAAATTCTGTAAAGCAATTATCCTTCATAAAAAAATAAATTAAAAAAAAGCAGAGACATTACTTTGCCAACAAAGGTCTGTCTAGTCAAAGCTACGGTTTTTCCAGGAGTCATATATGGATGTGAGAGTTGGACTATAAAGAAAGCTGAGTGCTGAAGAACTGATGCTTTTGAACTGTGGTGTTGGAGAAGACTCTTGAGAGTCCCTTGGACTGCAAGGATATCAAAGCAGTCAATCCTAAAGGAAATCAATCCTGAATATTCATTGGAAGGACTGATGCTGAAGCTGAAACTCCAATAATTTGGCCACCTGATGCAAATAGCAGACTCATTGGAAAAGACCCAGATGCTGGGAAAGATTGAAGGCAGAAGGAGAAGGGGAAGACAGTGGATGAGATGGTTGGATGGTATCACCGACTTGGACAAGAGTTTGAGCAAGCTCTGAGAGTTGGTGATAGACAGGGAAGCCTGGCATGCTGCAGTCCATGGGGTTGCAAAAAGTTGGACATGACTGAGCAACTGAACTGAACTGATGGTGGAAGAAAAATATCCAAAATACTAAATTATATACAGTGAAACAACTTGCTGCTTTTCCATTTTCTGTCCCCCAATCTCCTATGCTAAGAATAACCACAGTTAGAAGTTTTCTGTAGGGATTTCCTTGGTAACCTAGTAGTTAGGATTCTGAGCTTTCACTGCCGTAACCCAGGTTCAATCCCTGACCAGGGAACTGAGATCCTACAAGATGCATAGCACGGCCAAAAAAAAAAGTTTTCTCTGATTCCTATGTATAGAGACAGCACATGTATAGAAACGGCCCCATTTCTTTCTTTTTTCTTTTTCTTATTAATACCTAAATGTAAGCATATTATAATCACCCTTCTACATCTTTTTTTAAAACAACAATTTGTCTTGGGGATTGACCAGTAACTTACAGAGATGAGAAGTACAGGGATAACAGTTTACACCACCAGAGCAGCAGTTCTGAACTTTTTGATATAAAAAGTCTTTTATACTCTTATAAAAAGATATAATTGGATGTTATATAGCCTCTCAAGTGAAAAAGGCAAATATGTGTTTGTATTATTATGAAAATATTGTGGGTTTTTTTTTGGGGGGGCTGCACCTAGCAGCATGTGGAACTTTCCTGATCAGTGGTCAAACCTGTACCCCGTGCAGTGGAAGCAAAGAATCTTAACCACTGGATCACCAGGGAAGTTCACAAAGATAGTTTAAAACTTGCAGACCCCTCTCCAAAATGGTCTTGGGATTCCCAAACCACACCTTGGAGAATGCATGGACTACAACATGAACTCTGGAGTCAAAATGCCTTGGTTGGCATCTGACTTTGCTGTGGACTTAACTTTGTGAATTGTGTTATCTTTTGAAATGGGCTAATAATTATACCTATATTTCACTGAGCTGTTATAATTAAATTAAGTGTTCATTAAAATGCTTGATAGCATCTGACATGATGTAAATATTGGCTGTTGTTAAAAATCTACCACATTCTACAGATGGCCAACAGGCACACAAAAAGATCTCAACATTGCTAATTACTAGAGAAATGCGAATCAAAACTACAATGAGGTATCTATCACCTCACATTGGTCAGAATGGCCATCATCAAAAAGTCTACAAAATACAAATGCTTGAGTGAGTGTGGAAAAAAGGAAACCCTCCTACATTCTTGGGAGGAAAATAAACTGGTGCAGCCACTATGGAGAACAGTATGGTGGTTCCTTAAAAAAACTAAAAATAGACCATATGATCCTGGACATACATCCGGAAAAGATGAAAACTCTAATTTGAAAAGATACATGCACTCCAGTGTTCACAGCAGCACTCTTTACAACAGCCAGATGAATGGATAAAAAAGATGTGGTGTGTATACACACACACACACACACACACACACACACACACACACACACAGAGTGGAATATTACTCAGCCATAAAAAAGAATGAAATGCCATTTGTAGCAACAAGGATGGACCTAGAGATTATCATACTGAGGTAAATCAGACAAAGACAAATATCATATGATATCACTTGTATGTGGATTATAAAAAGATGACACAAATGAGCTGATTTACAAAACAGATACAGACTCACTGACAGAGAAAACAAATTTATGGTTACCAGAGGGGAAAGCTGTCTAGGTTGGCCATAACTTTCCTTCCAAGGAGTAAGCATCTTTTAATTTCATGGCTGCAGTCACCATCTGCAGTGGTTTTGGAGCTCCCCAAAATAAAGTCTGCCACTGTTTCCCCATCTATTTGCCATGAAGTGATGGGACCGGATGCCATGATCTTTGTGTTCTGAATGTTGAGCTTTAAGCCAACTTTTTCACTCTCCTCTTTCACTTTCATCAAGAGGCTCTTTAGTTCTTCTTCACTTTTTGCCATAAGGGTGGTGTCATCTGCATATCTGAGGTTATTGATATTTCTCCCGGCAATCTTGATTCCAGTTTGTGCTTCATCCAGCCCAGCATTTCTCATGATGTACTCTACATATAAGTTAAATAAGTAGGCTGACAATATACAGCCTTGACATACTCCTTTCCCAATTTGGAACCAGTCTGTTGTTCCATGTCCAGTTCTAACTGTTGCTTCCTGACCTGCATACAGATTTCTCAAGAGGCAGCTCAGGTGGTCTGGTATTCCCATCTCTTGAAGAATGTTCCACAGTTTGTTATGATCCACACAGTCAAAGGCTTTGGCATAGTCAGTACAGCAGAAGTAGATGTTTTTCTGGAACTCTCTTGCTTTTTCGATGATCCAGCTGATGTTGGATTTGATCCCTGGTTCCTCTGCCTTTTCTAAAACCATCTTGAACATCTGGAAGTTCACGGTTCACGTACTGTTGAAGCCTGGCTTGGAGAATTTTGAGCATTACTTTACTAGCGTGTGAGATGAGTGCAATTGTGTGGTAGTTTGAACACTCTTTGGCATTGCCTTTCTTGGGATAGGAATGAAAACTGACCTTTTCCAGTCCTGGGGCCACTGCTGAGTTTTCCAAATTTGCTGGCATATTGAGTGCAGCACTTTCACAGCATCATCAAGGCCCCTCTAGTCAAGCCTATGGTTTTCCCAGTGGTCATGTATGGATGTGAGAGTTGGGACTATAAAGAAAGCTGAGCACTGAAGAATTGATGCTTTTGAACTGTGTTGGAGGAGACTTTTGAGAGTCTCTTGGACTACAAGAAGATATAACCAGTCCACCCTAAAGGAGATCAGTCCTGAGTGTTCATTGCAAGGACTGATGTTGAAGCTGAAACTCTAATACTTCGGCCACCTGATGCAAAGAACTGACTCAAGACCCTGATGCTGGGAAAGACTGAAGGCAGGAGAAGAAGGGGATGATAGAGGATGAGATGGTTGGATGGCATCACCGACTCAATGGACAGAGTTTGGGTAAACTCTGGGAGTTGGTGATGGGCAGGTAGGCCTGGTGTGCTGCAGTCCATGAGGTCGCCAGGAGTCAGACACAACTGAGAGACTGAACTGAACTGAGGGGAAAGCAGGGGTGGGGGAGTGGGAAGGAAGGGGACAGATTAGGACTTGGGGATTAACAGATAAATACTACTTTATATAAAATAATCAATAAGGTCATATTATATATATATATATATATATATAGCACAAGGAACTGGACTCAGTATCTTATAATAATCTATAATAGAAAAGAATCTGAAAAAGAACATATATATATTCAGTTTTATATAACACAATACTTGGCTGCACACTAGAAACTAACACAACATTGTAAATCAACTATGCTTTAAAAAAAAAATCTACCACATTCTTCTAAAGGATGCATATTCTTGCACTGTTATGGATGTATGGGTTTCCCAGGTGGTTCAGTGGTAAAGAATCCACCTGTCAATGCAGGAGACTTGGATCTGATCCCTGGGTCAGGAAGATCCCCTTGAGGAGGAAATGGCACCCTACTCCAGTGTTCTTGCTTAGAAAAATCCCATGGACTGAGGAGCCTGGTGGGCAACAATCCACAGGGTTGCAAAGAGTCAGACACAACTGAGCGACTGAGCATGCATGCATGTACATTCCCTACTGATGGG